AAGTCGGAAGTGATGTCGTGCTGGACAAGAATCAGAGTCCGAATAACATTTTTTCATATTCGGACTCGAGTCCGAATAATCACATCGACTATCTCTATGTCTCAACTTTAGGAATTCATAATTTTCCCGTTTTTAATCTCTCAATGAAGAATCTCGGACCGGTAGATTAATTCATTAAAATTTTGTCAGGGGGGAGACCCCTCCTCCCCAACCACCCGCCCCACCTACCCCACTTTCTCGAGCAATAATGTACGAGTGGTCCGGTATTCTTCAATCTTCCCCTATAGGCATGCAATTGCGTGTAAGGTGTCATAGTTTGCCGTACACATGCAATTGTGTGAACAGTCAAACCTGTGTAAAACGGCCACCCATTGTCAAGGAGAAAAGTGGCCGTATAAAAGGCTATAGTCTGTAGTTATTCGCACAGGTTGTGCGAATACTATGAAATTTTATGCGCACAGGATGTGCGAATGCTATGAAATTTTATTTGCACAAAGTGTGAATACTGTGTGAATAGCCTACTATGAAATTTTATTCTCACAGGGTGTATGAATACTGTGAATACTACTATAAAATTATGTTATTTGCACAGGGTGTGTGAATACTACAAAATATTATTGGCACGGGGCTCACAGGGTGCAGGGTGTTTCAAAAGAAGGATGGAAATTAATTAGGCCTAGCATTTCCTCCTTTTTTCCTCCCTCATCACGTAGGGACCAAGATCATGTATAACAACTTACAGACACTTTCACTCAGGTCCTCTCTTTGAGTTTTGAGCCAGACCCAATTTGGTGGTGCCCTCTTCGAAAAAGTGCGGACTTTGCGAACAGAGTTAGATCTACTCTAGTTGTGTGAAAAACAATGAGGGAGTGTATACAGACCCAGTAGGGGAACTCTTTTGTGATTTCAGAAAGTTTCAGCGCCCTCTTGGCTCAGGGTAGACCTAGGTTCTTCTAGATCTATAGCCTAGGTCTAGATAGACAGATGTAAATCATTGATATAGTTGAGGTTAGCCTAGATCTAGATCTAGATCTAAATTATGAAGATTGCAATGTCTTTTCGATGAACGATCGTTTTTGTCTTTCTTTCTCCCCACCTATTTCCCACTCTATCGTTCCCTCCTGTCAACTGGGGCATGCCATACATTTTGCTAGCACTTCCCCCTGCTCTCTCTCTCTCTCCCTCTCTCTCTCCCTCTCTCTCTCTCTCTCTACCTCTCTCTCTCTACCTCTCTCTCTCTACCTCTCTCTCTCTACTCACTCACACACACACACCCACACTACCGGGTCTTGGCGCTGAAACTTTTCAACCTCACAAAAGAGTTCCCCTACTGGGTCTGTATACTTCGTGACTTTGTTCCCGGTTACCTGGTCTGTATACACTTCGAAACAATAAAAGTGAAGTTAACCGACTGCTTATAAATCCTATTCTTCTTCTGGAGAAACGGAAGAGAGCTTGAAAACAGACTCCAGCGCCGTCTGAAGCAATAGGCGGACTTCTGCGAACACTTTTCGGGCTGAGTGAATGATCTTGTTATGTGCTGTCTTTGGTAGGGATTAATCTAATTCTATTTGTGCAATGCGATGTGAAAAACCCCCACTCAAATTGGAATTCAAGTTGTGTATTGTGTCAATGATAATGACTGAAATCTTTTTTTTTTTCCCTTGCGCCTTGAGAGAGATGAATGCATGCTATAACCCTAAAACTGAAACAAGTATGATGTTATACTAGTGTACAGTTGTTTTAATATTTAAAGCCTTTGCCAAAAGGTGGCATACCCGGGTGTGATAAACGAGGTCCAAAATCAACGTAGGCTCGGCCCTGTGGGAATAGAATTATTTCTTATTGGCACACCCGGTATTCTTATGCGCACACCCGGTGTGAACAATCACTTCCTATAAAAGTAGACTCCATAACGCCGTCAACGGTAGGCTATTCTTTTACTTTCTCTCCGGTCTCACACTTAGCTACTACCAGTTGACCATTTTCTACTGGGATAAATATTGATTCGCTGAACACGAATGTCAACTTCATTTCCGTCGCAAATTAGATCTAGAATCTAATAGTTTTTTAAATATGTGATTGTTCTTAATCGAGGTGTCACACTGGACTATACCTAACCGCATAGTAATTTGCGCGCTTTGGACTAATCGAGAGGTTTCAGGGGGTACTGCCCCCTGGTATGAAAAAATCTGGGGGGTTACAGCCTGTTTTAACTCATAATTTGATATTTTACAGTTAGGTTTGAAATTTTCTAGAAAATAATTGATTTGCGACAATATTGGTGGCTTTTTAAATCATGTGTGATTTGCAGCAAACATTACTGAAGTTAGACCCTGGAAGCAGTTCATCGGTGTTCGGGAGTGAAAGTAAAAATTACTTTCTATAACTGTGACACAGGTGGCCGTCTTGTCTTAGGTGGGACTGGTCAAAATGAAAGCAAATCATTCACTTCTGAGGTACAAACTGGGGCTGATCTCAGACTTAAGACTGCAGTGCGGCTAATTCAAAAGGGTTTTTGTTTGCTTTTGAAAAAGGGGGAAGGATGGTGTGGTGTAAAAAGGGTTTTTGTGTTGTTTTGGTTTTTAAAATTGTTTTTGGTAAACTTTCTTTTTGTTGTTGATTTTGGGCAAGGGTAAAAATAAACGAAATATTATGTAAATAAGACTAAGACCGAGTGCCATGGTAAAACAAACACACGTGTCGCCATCACTCCGAGAACGAGCGATGCTTCTGCTGCAAGTTAACGTCAACGTCAATTATTTTATTACAGATTAGGTAAACAAAACATTGACCAGTCCCCTCGCACACGATTTGGGCATGAGTTGTGGGCAGGGCTTTTAGTTATAGGTTATGAAGGATCACGCTTCCCTCACCAGCTGTTGAAAATGTATTGTTCGACCTAGGTCTACCCATTGGTCAACTTTGGTAAACATTCATTGGCGGGAATAAACTAAATAAAGTGACAGGTGAATGGATTATGACGGCCCGTACATAGCGTGAGGGGCCAATTCAAAATTTATAACAAAGCATCTGGCAGTGCGAGACCACGCCTTGCCGCCTGAGGCAGGTAAATTTGTGTTACCTTTAAACAATCTCGGCAATTCTCGTTTCATAAATTTAGCCTGTACCAGTACCATTCTGTACCTCCTCTTTTCCTCCCCAAAGTTGTACATGCACACACGTACACACACACACTCAAGCAGTCGACAGTGAAACCACCCTTGCATCCCCTAGTGACGTAGCCCATCAAGGCTAAGCGGAAAAGCGGACAAAAGCCGAAAGAGCATGTGCAATGTATATCTTGGTAGAAGAGAATCTGGCATTACTGCACGGAATTGCGTGCGTATAGCAAAAAAAAAATGTGTTGGTGCTCGCAATTGTGTGTGTATAGACACTCCCGTCGTCTTTAGATAATCGAAGTGACTCTTTGGACTCGAGTCCAATTAAACAAAAATTATATTCGGACTCTGAATTTAGTCCAGCATGACGTCCGTTCCGACTTCCGACCTTTGTTCTTAAATATTTCCATCATTTATGAAAAAATGTATTGATTACAATGATAACAATCGAGATGTGAGCTTTAATATCCAGTAACTAATACTAGATCTATCTAAACCCTCTCTGCATCATTAGTATGAGAACGGAACAACCAAGTTGAGTTGACCTTGCTGGGGGCAAAGTTAATTTTGTCAAAATTATGTCAACCAATGAGATTGCACGTAGCGATCACGCACTCTCGGCTTACTGGGGGAAGAGGCCACGACTGTCTTTTTTTTTTGACTATTTGGACTCGAGTCCAGTTAAACAAAAATTATATTCGGACTGAATTTAGTCCAGCATGACGTCCGTTCCGACTTCCGACCCTTGTTCTTAATTATTTCCAGCATTTATGAAAAAATTTATTGATTACAATAATAACAATCGAGATGTGAGGTTTAATATCCAGTGACTAAGTTAATTTTGTCAAAATATGTCAACCAATGAGGTTGCACGTAGCGATCACGCACTCTCGGCTTACTGGGGGAAGAGGCCACGACTGTCGGTTTTGTGCGATGTGATTTTAAAAAAATAAATTAATTTACAGAAAAAGTATAGCCGACAAAATGGAATTAAACATGTGGAAAGACAGTTTTGGAAATAATGATGCTGTAGTGGTGGTGGAAAGACCCTGAGTTGTCGGTTACCATGTACTTAGACACTGCCATTGGGCAATGAGAGTGCAGTCTTTTGACTTTTGACACAATTGCACTGTTCTAGTACTACTACTACTAGTAGGTAATTCTAGTTCTAATATTCTGGTTTTACGTTAAAAAAAACTGACGAGTTATATTTAGTATGCAACCTCTTTACACTCACATAACTCACTTTAAAAAGTCAGAATGAAAAAAAAAATTTTTGTGACCCGAGTCCGAATAGATAAAACCCATTTTCAGACTCCAGTCCGAATAGATAAATATAGCCCATTGGCACGATGGGTTCGGTTTGGTAGGCTGGACTAGCCAGATTGAGGGCACAAAGTGACCATTGTGGCACAAACCGATCACCTGACTCACAACCTCAAAATCTAACTCATACACATTTGTTTTCAGGCTGAAAATCTGGCAATTGGTTTGTCGACCCGCCAATGGGTACTGGGTAGCCCTACTGGAAACTCTCTCTTTCCCAATCTTTTGGTTAAAGTTTCAGGATTGTCAGACATCTATGAAAAAGTTAAAATGAGAAAAACTGTCTTGACGAGCATGCTCTTACCTCTATTCTAATTCTTTCTCAAACAAATCATCCGGCCTGTGAATATTGATGCAGGACTGTTTGAACAGGAGACAAGAATGGGTCTAGTCCTAGCCTCTATGACATAATGAAAATTCATGAATTAAATCCTAAATGTTAAGACTACGCATGACAGTGTTTTGATTGCTAGAGGGGGTTTTGAAGGGCAGAGGTGTCCAGTTTAGAGCTTGTTCTCCTTATGCACGACGTCGCGTGTTGTCTTTGTCGCTCTAAAATCAATCTGGTAAGATTATAAACTGTCTCCTTATGCGCAACGTTTAATCCATTTAGCGATTGGGGGTCTTGCCGCATGCGACAAGACTGGGGATGTGACAGATTTAGAGCATCACCATTGGTCAAATACCTAGCCAGGGAATGCCGGTCGACACGCCGTGTGTGCCTGTGTGTGGTATGTTCATCTTCAATTCGACCCAATGCAAGTTTTGTGAATCTAATCTTGTTTTGTGGGTGGTTGGCGGGTGTTCTGGTGTGGTTTGCTTCTTCTTTCCTATCAAACATCTATCGTCTTTATCTCCTCCTTTTTTGTGTTTGTGATCTCTCTTGTAACACCTAATCTTCGGCATTTATATGACCTTATTGTGTTGCAAATGCCGTAAAACACTTACTAAAAAATCTAAACTAAAACTTGTTGTTTTGTTGTTTTTTTAACGGCCAGCAGGAGGAGGAGGAGGAGAAGGAGGAGGACTTGCACAGGATTGGCCATGTACGGAATAAAAAAATGTCAGTGGCTCGTAGAACTCCCATCTGATGGACTTTGTACTTCCTTGTCCATCCTGACATTAAAATTTGCCACTGTCTCTCTTCCGTGAATTGCCAGTTGCACGTGACTAAATGTTGCGTCATGCATAATGAGACAGTTTGTTACTTTTGTCACACGCGATGCACACCTCGCCACTTACCACTAGCGACATTCGCGCATAAGGAGACATAGCTAAGAATGAGTGAGGTGATGCTAGCATACTCGACACAAAATCTGTTCCCCCCGACTTATTTTAATTCATAACTGCTGCTAAACCTAGGCATGACTTGATTGGGAAAACGTTTTCATAACTACCCATGCTCTCTATATTAGCTTGGGCAGCAATGCTCTGTCTATGGGATTATGGCTGAACACCTGTAAGTCAGAATCCCGCCCGGATATGATTATTAGCTGGGGCAGCAGGTATTATTCATTGTTTTTACTGTCTGCCCCAGTTTGTAGTTGGCACCTTCACACAAATATTTTTAGAAATCTATTAAAGTATGCATGAGAATGTGCGTAGCCTTCATTCAGATTTAAAAAAGGAAGATTTGGAGGGTAGCTACTTTTTGATGCCCAGTCATCCTCAGTTTTGTACTTAGTGACAGTACTTTCCATAACTGATAACATGTGATTGATTTTTTTATGTACCAGAGTAGAGCCTGTCCATATTGTCAGTTTGAGACCTGTGCATTTTCATTTTGCAGTCATAGGTGCTATTTCCACCCCAGTGTTTTTTGTCGGGCAAAAACTATTAAGAAATGAAACACCAGGGCCGCCCCTCGTTATAAATTTGCCGGAATCATTGCGATTTTTACCCAGTTTTAATAGAAGTTCGCAATACCCCTAATTCTGATTTTAAAAAAAACAAAAACTCCTCAGCAACAAAAGCTACATGGCGCTGGATGGTCTACGGTAGTGCGTCATGTCTAGATGCCTCACTTTAACATTCTCTTTGCATTGAGCCCTCATCGCTCAAGTGACAATATGTCCTTTTGAATTAAAAACATTAGGGCTTAAGAATTGGAAGTGCGAAAAGTAGGGAGTAAGGGCAGGCAAATATTAGGTTGACATGGTGTAGGAAAATTTCTGCCCTCTTGTGTTGTGGGTGATAGCCTCTAAGCCAATGAGAATTTTTAAAAATGGATCATTGTTTGTAACTTGAAACTGTTAGCATGGTGGGTGATTGGCATGCTCTATTGTGATGCGCTAGCAGGATCTTAAGCAATGTTCAGCGCGGCAATACCTTTTTCTTCATCACGCTTTTGTTTACATTACATTTATGCTTGACTACAACCCTTGACTCCAGGGAAAACCATATTGTGAAGTTTTAAGCCAGATTACAATTTTTCTGTTTTTTTACTAAAACATATCCTGGTGGGTGGGCAGCCCTGTATGATATCATATTTTAATCTGTAGACTTAAAGGGCTTGTGTTCAAAGCAGAAAGTACTTCGAAATTTCCTCCTTTTTGTAGGTAGAGCATTTTAACCTTGTCGAAACATGTAAAGAAATAAGTGTAACTGTTCATGATATGCAGCGAGAGATTGTTTTTTAGCAGTTGAGCTGTCAGATGAAGTCCAAATAACTCTTTATTTTTTTCCTAGACAGTGCACCTTTGTCAAGGTTGTGGAAAAATTAATTATTTTTTATTATCAATGGATCGGCGAGTCTGGGCTAGTGTAGAACAAAGAATCAGCGTATAGTCCCCATTTGTCAAGATGTTATGAACCTTCATTGGGTAATCCTTACTTGCCATTTTTACCCTGACTGCTTTGTTTGTATTTCCTGTTGAGGAATGCAACCTGATTCTTATGGGCATTGTAAATATTAATATATATATATTTTTATTGCCTAGTTAAGGGCTGCTCCAGTACGATTGCCTGTTGTAAAGAAATAAATTTGACGTTGAAGAGGCGATTTATGCGTGTAGTCGTCCAGTGTCTGGTACAAGATGTAGCAATTGGGGAGAGGTCACACATACCCAGTCTTTTCCTGTTGGGTTAGAATATGGTTCACGTTGCCACTCTATTTTCCAGGTCACAAAGCCATTTCAATTTATAGGATAACATGGTTTACTGAACACATATAATGAAGGAAATATTGGTTTCTAGAAGAAAATCTGCTTTACTTGAGTAAAGTTCTTTAGCTTTCTGATAAATATTTATTTATAGGAGGCATCAAAATGATTATTTTCAAGCAAGTTAATATCTCACTTATTAGTTCTCAATAGTTATTTCTTTTCAAAATCGAAAGTTGGATGGTTTGGGAAAAATCCTTTATTTAAAAAAAAACCTCTTAATTTATCCGTTTTGCTCATGCAATGAGTCTATTTAGAGAAAAGCTGGGACAAAAAATCATTTAAAACATTTTTTCTAGAGTTCACAATAAATGCGTCATAATATAGTCACATGAGACATCATACACACATAATTATTTTATCCAACCAAACTTCACTCAATTTTTTTTATTGATAGAGTTATTGTATTGACCTGCCTAGGAATTTTTAATATGATTTTTTTCTACATCCGTGCTCTTTACCTTTTAAAAAGTGGCCAAAACCCAAGAACTCAAATTGTTTCCAAAATCCAGTGTGTTTTTCAGCCAGTTAGAAATATTGTTGGTTGGTTTGCATTGTTGATTATTGTCTGCATGGGTATTTTTTAAAACCAGAGGATGGTAACAGACTGTTTTAGGAAAGTTCTGTCTGGAGATCCTTTTCTAAAGTGCTCTGTTTTGTTTCTTACTTGAAATGATGACAATAATACTGAAGTATGCTAAAGCAAGTTTATTTGTGATTTTTTCCGCAGCGGATATAATTTCCTGTGTTGAGTTCAACAGTGATGGAGATCTTTTGGCAACAGGAGACAAGGGTGGTAGAGTTGTCATCTTTCAGCGTGATAAAGCGGTAAGGTTATATTCCAGTAGAATTTCAAGATAAGATTGTGAGGGGGGTGCGTTCAAACTTTTTTCGGCCTTTTTGACTTTGATAGATATTGTAAATTGTATTTCAATTCATTATTGACTCCTACTTATATTCCTTTCGCAACAGAGTTTGTTAACAAAATTGCTTCAGCTAAGTTCATGACTTAACGTTGAACTTGTTATTCCAAGTCTCATTGGAAAAAGAAAATTTCGGTTATCCCAAGGTTAAGTGTCTTTGCTTTTCGGTTTGTAAATTTTCTTGTGATTCAGATGTGTGAGAGTTGCCAATCGTCCCCTGCGCTTTGGGCAGAGTAGTAGTTTTTTGGGTCAGTCGGGATCTAAGGTAGCCCTCTTCTATGGAACTTGCCAAGCAATCTGAAGAAAGACTAAACTTGATATTTGCAAGCATACAAAATGCTGATAGATTTCTAAACCCGGGAGAAATTGCCATGTTTGTGTGCTTTTCTTTCGTTTTTCAAAAACTTAAGAGGAGCTGCTGCATTGTCGTCAACCGGACAGGTGAAAGGCGCTCCACGTCTTTTTTTATAGCTGTAACATTTTAGATTTCTGTGTGGCACTTTTTATGTTCCAACTTAAAATTACCACCCTTCCAGCAATACTAGACCCAGAAACTGAACGGGATAGCTTGCTGGCATGTGAAAGGTGCATGATTATACCGCTTGGTTAAGTTGTAGAGAGGTGATCAGAAAACAGGGCCGATTCCTTTAAGATTAGTCTTTCCTGTAAGTGGAGTAAATGAAGTTTTGTAATATTTGAGCCTGCTTTGCAAGCCTGTGCCCCCTTATTGATATCAGTTCCAGGGATGTTGTGCAATTAAACATTTTCTTGCAAAATAGCAAATATTTGTCTTAAAGATCCAAAGTAATAAAGACATAGAAAAATTGATGTTAGAACTAGGTTCTGCACATGCAGATACCCAGTTTCATTCATATACTCCCCCAATTCATTTTTGACTTGTGAAATAATCCCTCAAAATAAATCAAGAATAATCCCACTTTTATTTTTGTTTTCCTATTTAAAGGTCCTCATAATTTTGCTTAAAAAAAATCCTAACTTTATTTATCAATGGATTTTTTAAAGCAATTTGAACAAAAATGTAATCATTGTCATTGCTACTAGTTGCTGAAAGATCGATCTTAGTGCCTGGGCTGATGGCCCCTAGTGTAAAGTTACAACACAATACTTTTTGTTAATGAAAAATCCATGTAGGTGTTATTTTGGATTATGAGAGTAAGAGACTTAAGGGTTATATAATGCTACTGCTTTTGTCTATTTTTAGGCACGTCGATTGTTAAAAAAGGTAATCTTTTTGGCAAAGTTTGTTCGGCCTGTGTTTGGTAACCTGTTCGGCCTGTGTTTGGTAACCATTCTGTCCTCTATAGCCAGTGCCTCAGCCTGTGTCTTTCTTAGACTTAAATTGCATCTCTGACTGTTGTGAGACCTTAGAGGGCTGAATTACTCGTCCTGGTTTTATTATTGGCTAAATTTGCAAGAGACAAGATCAGTCTCACACTCCCTTCTGTCTTCACCACCCCCCCTCTGATTTGGATGTTTCATGCATACTCTTTTGTGCTACTTGTTTTAGAAGGTAAAATTCAATTTGCTTTTCATTTTCAGAGCAAGAATGCTGTCCCAAGCAGGGGAGAGTACAATGTGTATAGCACGTTCCAGTCTCATGAGCCTGAATTTGACTACTTGAAGAGTCTTGAGATAGAGGAAAAGATCAACAAAATCCGTTGGTTGCAGCAAACAAACAGGAACCATTTTTTATTGTCAACTAATGGTAAGATTGTTGTCGCGTAGAAATAGGATAATTTTTTTTTAAAGACATGTCAGCTCAGGTTTGAAATTTTCTGTCTGTTGAACATGTTTGCTGTGAATTTTTTGTTGTTGAATACTAGTACTTTTTGTTTCACAACTTTTTTTTTCTGTTGGTTTGTACCTGTGTTAATTGATGGATCTGATAACTCCCTTTCTCCCTTTTTGATTGCTACCTCAGGGCTGCCCATCATTATGATTTTGGCGAAATCGTCACGATTTTTTAGTTTTGGGAAAATATGATCTTATTGATTCGGATTTTATAAAATTTTGACTATCCCAACTCTCTGCCCACCTTCATGGTGTATAAGGGAAGAAAAACTACCAGACCCGTACAGTTTACGCCACCATGTCATATGCAATCCACGGAAGTAAATATCAAGGGAAATCACTCTATGTGATAGCTCAAACGTTGATGTAACGCTTCGAATTTAAGTGCGTTGCTGGAGCTGTGAAGGTTTTTTTGTTGTTTTTTTACATTTTTTGTTCTACCATGGCTTCAGCGTTCCCAGATCGCTATTCTAGATCTAGTAATTCAGGTGGGATTGCCTACCCTCTCCAAACAGAGTGGGAGTTTTTATCATGATGTCTATGTGTTGCAAAAGAGGGTTTTCTTTAAAGTACTTTTATTTCTGAATACATCTTGAAAATGTCATGCAATTCTGTATATGACATTTGTTTCAATGAATTTTTTTGTAACATACCCTAATTATTTTGTTGGCTTTTAAATCTGCGGTGCTCAAGGGGGGTTTTCACGTTATGACAGTGCGGTACTGTAAGTGTTAAAATGTGGATTAGTATTTGAAACTTGGTTCAAAAGCCCCCTGTACTACCTCTTTTTTTCTTAACTCGACCAGTAACCCCCCCAAAAAATGCCTTTGCTTTACTTTTGCACTTGCTTTACTGCAACCCCTGTCCTTGACACTCCACGGAAAGAGACGATTCATGTCTATATTATGGATTTTTAAGTGAGATTACTAATTTTTCATTTGTTGATTACTAAAACATATGCTGGTGGGTGGGCAGCCCTGCCTCCTATGCTCCACTGTCATCAAATATTTTCATGTATACCGTCATGTGTCAATGATAAGACCTCGTCGGGTGTGTTGTCATTACTTTTTGTTTTAGCCTTGCAAAGACTTTCAGATACTGCTTATATATGCTTCATGTCTTGAAACTTTCTGGATGAACTTCGTTTAGTGCACTTTCAGACCTTACCTTTTGTACTCCTGCATTTAGTTTGATTATGGTTATGTACCACTTTGAGTATTTTTTTTTTTAACCCCCCCCCCCCCCCCCCCCCCCGGGCGGTGCCACTGACTAGTGTTTTTTGGCCATTCCCAAAGGGGGGACATTTCTCGTTCAAGTACAGTAGAATTGTGAATGGGCTGGTTCATCATGTCACGCTCATAACTGTACCTGTTCTGCAACAGGGAACTGCTGCTTTTTCTTTCCTAATCCTTACTGTTGTCATTTTCCTCTACTTCTTTTGTATGTTTGTCACACTCTTTTGACCCGATATTTCCGGGGTGCCTTGATAGTCGAAGCAGACCTTGTGCTGTTGAAGCCAGAGAGGTGAGCAGAGTAAGTCTGATTCCCTGTAAGGATTTCTCTGTTGACACCCACCCCTTGGCGCTCATATGGCCTTATGCAGTTGTGAGCGCCGTAAAACCCTCTACTAAAAAAAAAGTATTTTTTCCCGCTTTTAGTGTACTCAGTTCTAAAATATTGTTGCCACTTTAGTGGGGATTTTTTTTCAGTGTTATATTAAATTTCATTTTAAAAAGTTTCAGGTATTGTAATTTTTATGTATTTTCTATTTTCAGACAAGACGATAAAGCTTTGGAAAGTTGCTGAGCGAAATAAACGACCTGAAGGATATAACTTGAAAGATGAATTGGGACAATCCCGCAATCCCACATCAATCACCTCTCTTTGTGTGCCAGTGTTTCAGCCAATGGAACTTATGGTTGAAGCATCACCCAAGCGTGTGTTTGCCAATGCTCACACGTATCACATCAACTCCATATCTGTGAACAGCGACTTAGAAACCTATCTCTCAGCAGATGATCTGCGTATCAACCTTTGGAACTTGGAAATTACAGATCAAAGTTTCAGTATCCTTTGGAAAGAAGTTTAAAAGGATAATGGGTTAACTAAGTTTAAAAGGATAATGGGTTAACTTCTTGGAAACTGAATGTGGGGTTTTGGGGAATATGTTTTTGTTTGCATCTCTTTGCATTTGTAGTAGATAATTTCAGATGACAAGTTTAATTTAGAGCTAGTTTAGAATTTGATACAATAACGCAAAGCAGGCGCACAAGATTTTTTTGGTTTTTTGATTGGTTTATTGTTTTTGGTTGTTGTTTTTTTTTTCCTGAAATGAATAGAATTTGTGTATGTGTTTATTGCCCTTAACCTGTCTCTAAGACATAGTTGACATCAAACCAGCCAACATGGAGGAGCTTACAGAAGTGATAACAGCTGCAGAGTTTCACCCCAAAGAATGTAACATGTTTGTGTACAGCAGCAGCAAGGGAAGCATTCGACTATGTGACATGAGGGAACAAGCCTTGTGTGACAAGCATGCCAAACGTGAGTTGATTTTGGTTGGCTGTTCTCATAACTTTTTTTTGGTCAATTTTTGTGGCAAAAGATGAAATGAAATATTGTTAACCAGTTTCAGTGGCATCAACTTCTAAGTCAATATTAATTTCTAGACAAGTTGTCAAGCACTGGTCATATTGTAAACATTTTAGACCCAGCCCTCTTTCCTATTAAACCAATTTCAAAGAAAAACAGCACTGTAGTCATATTTTATAGTTTCCCATTTGCAACGGCCAGTTACTGTTCTAGATGGGAAGATAAGCGCGTAATGCCAACTATTTTGGATGCATGGTACTATTTTCTCAAAACAGTTACTTGTTACTGGAAAACCAGGAATCCGGCACAGCTGAGTGTTGGTAAATTAATAACAAATAGTGAAAGTGGGGTGAAAGACATTCTATTAACCCTCTTACCGCTAAGCCATTTTTACCTTTACTTCCCTTCAGTGCTAGGTTTATTTTAGAAAAATACTAATTTTCAATATGGCTTTAAAAAAAGCTCATATCTTTCTTTTTTATCATAATTTCTAATTACAGTAAGAAGGAAAAATGTGTCTTAAATAATGAACTACCCTTATGTCTGGTCAGATGTGTTTTTTAATGATGTTGCTGTTGTTGTTGGTATCAAAATCCTCATCATTTTTAGTCCAGCCTGCTTGGAGATCAGCAGGAATATCGACGTCCCCTTCTGGGCGTAACCTATCTAGATCTAGATCTACGACACGCTATCCCCATCACAGACCTGCCACTCATCCCGATTTAATCGGGATATCCCGATTTTTTGCCCCAAATCTCAAGCATCCCGATTTTCCCGATTTCGATCGCCAGTATCCTGATTTTTCGTGGTTGCATCTGTTGCGTCCGATTCTTAGGGGAAAAAAAAAAAAAGTTCTGCAATCTCTTTTGCTTGGAAACACCGATTGGACTTTTTATCTGCAGGAACTTGGAACGCTATTTTCTAAAGCATCTATGCCGAATCTAGATCTAGGTTTAGTAGATGGCTAACGTACGTTATTTAAACTAAAATCGACCTAGTTTCAAACGCTCACTCGCATCACATGACATGACCTCGTACGTGTGGTGAGTAGCGCGTGTGTCGGGGACCGTCGGTTGTCGGGGTCAACAAAGTTCATTCGCACTGGTCGCGTTGGTCGAGGTGTAAATTACAGAACGTATATCGTGGGCGGTCCTCAGCATCGGCGCCGCGTCAAGACGGGGGCACGGTTTGACACTGGGCTTAAAGTGCGTAAATCCAATAATGGACCTCCTTAAGGGGAAAGGAATAAGAAGAAAAAAGGAACAACCTTGGCACGATCTTTTTTTCGATGTGATGGAAGTCAAACGTTGTTTTAAAATGCGGGCGTTTTGCGTGGATGATTAGAGTTACGTGTCAGCTATTTTCAAGACTACGAGTGTTTCAGCATCACTGCGACCTTCGCTCCCCCAGTCTATCTAACTTCGACTCGAGTACATATATGCTGTCAAAGTTTTGCCTTGCATACCTTGCCTCTTTAAAGGGAAACAGGACACCCCTCCCCGCCTTCCCCAGTGCCCTTTATGACTGACTTGCTGTTGAATCGGATTTTTTTCACCAGATCCTGATTTTTTAACTCAGAAATCCTGATTTTTAGATTTCATAGAGTGGCAGGTCTGCCATCATTCACACGTAGAACTAAATCTTTTATTTGAGGACCTGATCCTTCTAACTCTTTGTCACTGTGGTCCGGTTTCAGGAAAATGTTGGGTAAATCTGTGTCCAATTCAGCTGACGAATCTGACATTTTGAAAACTAAACAATATCCCAGAAAATTGCCGATAAAAAACTCCAAACCGATCCCCGACTGCGAAATGCGCGGCCAGCAGCGCTAATAAACGTTGCGCTGGTGAACTGTAGTCCCCAGCAGTTTAAAAATGGCTATTATCATGTCAGCGGTATAGTTTCTACACTCATGTCGGATCACGTCCACCGGTGGTCGCGATGAGCGCGAAAGGGAGGTATGAATCATCACGACCGGTCGTGATGCGCACGCAAAGGGTTAATATTGATTCGTTGGTGGTTGGGAGTCTCCTACCTTATCTTCATGGTGTCATGGCAGTCACCCTGATTCAATTCTACCCCATTGTACTGTATCTTCATGTCACATGTTGCCTTTTCACATTGTTCCAGACTTATGAAGTAATATATATAATATAGGACAACTTAATAATACCATTATACTGTGATTAATCGTCTCAAATTTTTATCTAATTGCATTTTGTTTGGGTTTCTTTTTTTCTTCAGTTTTTGAGGAACCTGAAGACCCAACAACCCGGAGCTTCTTCTCGGAAATCATTTCTAGTATATCGGATGTGAAATTTAGTCACAGTGGTCGCTACATGATTACCAGAGACTATTTGTCTGTCAAAGTGTGGGATTTGAACATGGAGAACAAGCCTGTGGAAACTTATCAAGTGCATGAATACCTTAGGAATAAACTCTGTTCACTGTATGAAAATGACTGCATCTTTGACAAGTTCGAATGCTCTTGGAGTGGTGATGACAAGTAAGAACATTTTTTGCTTTTGAAATTTCACACTGTAGGTGCAGCATACCTGATAAGAGACAGCATATGTTTGATGAACTACTTATTTCTTGTTATGAGATCTCACGGTTCTTTGTCTTTTCCTAATAATACAGACTTGCATTGTCTTACTCATTTATGCATCTTTTTATGGGTACATCTTGGCCTTGTGCTATTGTACTCAAAATGTAACAATTGGAAACAAGTGAAGTGGCCTGTCTTGGAATATTGCTCTTCTCTTCCATCAAAATATTGTAAAATTTGGATATAGTGCATGCTTGAGAAAACAGCACATTTTGTGGGAAATTTTCAACATTAAGTTATGGGAAATTGTGTAGGAAAGTAAGGCTAATGTGAATATGTGAGAAATGCACAAAGTATCATTGGAATGTAATCAAGTATATGCATTGGCTGTACAATTACAATATAGGGCAGATAATACTTAACATTTACTAATTAGCGTTAGAGGTGCCAGCATAGGTAGCCCACTAGAGGTGTCCGGAGGTGCAGATACTAGATCTAGATCTTCAGCTAAGTTAGCGAAAGTCTGGGAGTAGTTTGGTATGTTTGCACTACATAGATTGGCATCATGGTTTTGGGACAGATATGAAATGCAGCTTATTTTTCTTCTTATAAGTTATATTTGAATCTGTTAAAACTGAATTTAGTGGCAAATGTTCTGTTGTTGACTTGAGCCAGAGGACACAGTGAAGTTGAAACTAGAACAAAATTTTTTTTTTAAAGAAAGAAAAACACTTTGGAAATAATACAATTGCTTGGCCCGTGATGAGATCGTAACAAAATAAAGGGACATTAATAGTTCATTTTGCGATCCAACCATAATAGTATTTTGAATTCGTTGGAGCTGTAGTGTATTTTTTAATTTGATGAAATAAAAGGGTAACAAATGCAATCAGATAGTCACAACTATCATGCGAGAAATTATTAACTTGCACACACAGAGTGTACTGTAGTGGAAACAGGGTGGTCGTAACAAGTGTTTTTGTTTGTTTTAATAAAATTTTTTATCGCTGAATGTTGTGAGTGTTCCACATGCAGGTGTAGTCCTTAGTGTTTGTCACTGATGCTGTGTGACTTTTCTTTGGCACCCTTACTTGCCATGTCCAGAAGGATTTGAAACCCCCCCAATTTTTTAAAATCATTTCTTTGGGTGTTTACCAAGTCACTTTTTACATTGTTATGCAACCTGTCGTTTTTTTCCATTCACAGGCACATCATGACTGGATCTTACAACAATTTCTTCAGAATGTTTGATAGAGACAACAGAAGGGATACTACTCTTGAAGCATGCAGGGAAATCACAAAACCAAGGACAGTCCTCAAGCCTCGTAAAGTTTGCACAGGAGGGAAGAGAAAGAAAGATGAGATTAGTGTTGACTGCCTAGATTTCAATAAGAAAATACTTCACACAGCTTGGCACCCCTTAGAGAATATTGTTGCAATAGCTGCCACTAACAATTTATATGTGTTTTCTAGTAAAGATTAACCAAGGTCACGTTTAGTTGATATTTATTCACCACACCACTTATACGGTTGAGTGGTGTCAACCCTTCACTTTCGCCCAGAGGGTGAGGCAGGGGGCCATGTTTTAATCAGTCTTTCCACGTGACGGATCATTGCTCAAGTGTGGATCAAGCCCCCGTGTCCATGTGATGGTGTGTGCCACTTTTCACAGCCTTCCACTGTCCTCAGAGCATTGTTTTCACAAGTATTTTCCAACTCGTGGAGGATCAAGGAGACTGAACTCCACAAATGTGCAATGCGTTTGGACGGCCAGTTTCCTGTTGTGGACTGCTTAGCTTGTCATGTAAATGGAATAATTGACATCAAATACTGCATTCCTCTCTTGTGAAGTTTGTGTCAAGATTTGTCCATGTATGTATTGGAAATTACAATGTGAGTACCAATTTCCAGTATTGTTTAAACAGGGTTCTGTGACTTGTAACAAGCGGTATGTGATAGAGACAGATGAAATGGACCAATTTGACTGTCCTGTATACAACCAACAAGGTCTGTGTTCCACAATTTGATTTGGCTTTGAGAATTCTAAAATACATTTTATTATGAGGTATTTTGTGTTTTTCTGTACTGTGAAACTTGAAATCACTAGTATGTGTTGATAGCGTGGATCGCAAGAACCACAAGTATTGATTTGTTGTCAAGTACACATAAGGTACCTTATACATATGTTGAAAATATAATGGTACCGTTTTCACCGTTGTCAAAACAGTACTTCATCTCACAATCATTCTGCAAGTCGTGTTGTTTCCTCCCAAACATTTGTCTTTCCACATTATTGGGGTTTTTTTGTTTGTTTGTTTTTTGTTTTTTTTGTACTCTTTGTGTCTCCTTAATTTGGTACTTTTAATACTCTTATTATCGTTTTGTGCACGTCATTAAGTCACCTGTCATATAAGTGGGACTCTGTTGTTGTATTGTTTTTCACTTGTCTAACAAGGTCTGCCATAATTTTTTTATATGATGTGCACGAGCAGATTGTTGTAGCTTTGATGCCATGTTAGCTTTATGATGTTTATGTGCGAGTCGCTCGGTTGAATTTGCAGTGGGTTCTACTTATAGTTCCAGAAGTTGAACTGACACAACTTAATATTTTTTAATAGAATAGGTCTACTGTTTGTACTTCTCAATTCCTTTTCAATTTTTGTTCACAAACTCCACATCAAGTGTAGTTTCTTTATACTGGCTCAGGACGCTCTATCTTTCGATGACTCTATTGGCCCAAGTACATTTTACTGCGGTAATGTGATGATGGTTTTGCTTGGTTGATTTAGAAAGCTTTGATGATATATGCTGAAAATCTCAGATTTTTTTTTTTGTAAGTTGACTAATGAATGTCGTTTTTGAAGTTTGATTTTGAATGGTGACTGGATTGTGTATATTCCGTTCTCATTGTTTTATATGATTAGAAAAGATAAAACAAAATAAAAACTTTAAACCTTGTCTCTTTGTTTTGGCCAATGTATAATGCTACAAGTGGGATAGCAGTGTATTGGTTTTGCTCCAACAATGCAGCAACGAACAGGAGAGCTTAAACAGTTTGCTTTCAAAGTTGTCTTCAGTCATGTTTGGGATCGCAAGTATATGTTCAGATGGCAGTGAATGATGTATATCTTCATGCCATATGGAAATCTCAGTAGTGCAGTGTAAAATGTCATGCTACTTTGTTTGTGTCTAAAATGTCCACAAACTCGTGAATAGGAATTATGCTCAGCTTCCTTTGAGCTTCGCTGATGTGCCTCGAGGAAATGCAGGAAAGAAGAAATAGAGTTGCTTGTGGCATTGAGGGTGTAACATAATTCCAGGTGAGAAAGAAATGGCTTGAAGCTGGTAGCAACTGCTGTAGACTGTTGTGAATGATCACCTAAAATGGTACAAATTACATTAATTTGTCTGCGTGTTTTCCCCCTCCCACCGGCTAAGATGATAGCTTGTCACGCAATAACTTATTCATATGTTGTGTGCACTTTGTCATATGATTATCTATTGTCGCATTCTATAAGTAACTGACACATGAATGTCTTTCAGTTCATCTATGAGGGCAATAGATAAACTGGAATTATTTTCATTTTTCTCTTTTGGGGGTGATCCGTTTGAATGAATGTACAAAGTATTATTGGCATCTGACGTAAGGATGTATGTGTATTGGTAGTGCACACAATCTCCCTATGCATGCTAATATGTACCTGTACTTTGGAAAATGAATGCATTCCTGGAAAATGACAGAAATCTGGCAGTCATGTTCTCATTGAAAATCATTGTATTGTACTCATCTTGTAAGATGAATGATCATGGAGTATGCAGTGTGCATTTTGTTACATTTTGTGGACATATTACACGACCTGATGTTTGTAATATGAGGTTAGTGGAAGAAGCTTTAGGGCTGCCCCACTTCACTGTCCCATTCTCATAGCTAAAATTAAAGAAATGGATAAGGTTTAGAAGGTAACTCAGGACTCCCTCCATTTGTTTTGGTATGTTCAGACATTTATCATTGATTGATTTATGAAATTTAAATAGCATGGCTCTTGCTCTTCTGATTTTATTGACATGCATGGTTTTCTGTTTTCAACAATACTGTCATGATATGTCATTTCCATTATGCAGGATTTGAAGGTAAAGCAATAATTTTGCAAATCATGTTACAAGCACAACAAGAAAAATGTGGTGAAGACATCCTGAGTCCATATAGATAGTCCATATTCATTAGAGGTGGGCCCTGTCTTTTACTTAAGGGGGGTACTAAACATTTTTTCGTCTTTTTACCGCAATAATGTGCTGGCGTATTTGCATTTGTGCCCTTTTGTGTTTTGAGGTTGATTTTTTTACTTATGTAAATGCTGGTCACTGAACTTGGGATTGTATGGATGGTGTCTGCTGGTGTGATCATTACTTGTTATGGTGCTAATCGTAATGTAAGGGCTATACCAAGCTTCACTGTTATTAAAAGGGTCTCCTGCAAAAGGATATGTTAGAAGAATTATAGGAGGTGGGATGGTGTCCTGAAATGATTTTGAAAAGATGAAAGTTTTTAATTGGTCCATAATGGAAATAAAGGGGCAGGAAAGATCGTAAAATTGTCAAGTTTCAAGGAAGAAAAATTCGAATACACAGAGTTGGAATGGTTTTTAAAAATTTTTTCTTGTTCAGGTTGAATTGGATATAAATGGCATGAAAATGTGAAGTTCTCAAGAGCTTTGGAGCTGCACTGTTGGTGTCGGAAGCTGTTGCACTCAATGCTAGTTTCCAACTTGCCGCCAGTCTTATCCTTGAAGACTAGTGGTATAGAACATGCAGTGCAACGTGGCAGAACTCTGTTTAGGTGGGCATTTTTTCTAGTTTCAAACTTCATCTTTGTAACAAGAAAGTTTGTCCTGCAGTTATGAAGAAGTACAAGGGATGATAGGTATGGAGTGCTAACGTAAAGTTTTGGAAGATTTTTGTATAAGTACAGTGTTACAACTGATTTTGTTTGGGTTTTTTTGCAGTGAATTGTTAGTGCATTAGCAATGTAGTGTCTTTATTTTTTATCCAGTTGAGAATGAATTTGTCGGCCACTCTATCTGTCTCTCTCTTTCTCTCTTTTTGCTTTGCTTTGCCAACACGGTGCTTCGAAAAGGTGCTTAAAGGTTTTTACGAGGGTCTGAGCAAGCCAGGAGGTAGTCGCTGTTGGTTATGAAGATGGCCCGCAAACAGCAGATTATATGTGAGCCGATTCTGACTTTTTCATCCTTGAATAGTTCCCTTTGCTTGGTGGTTGTCCTGACAGGAGACCTAGTGCTTGGTACTGATGAGCTGTAAACTTCAACAAAGTCAATGTTAAGCAAGAGAGGTCTATGTTTTCAAGATGTCAGAAGTGTGAGAATGTTTTATTTCTGGAAGATAACTGTTGAAATTATAACAGTATGTTACTCATCAAAATTGTTCAGTTTTGTTCCTTCTGGTAATGTTGTGAGGAAGGATTGAAGTTCTTTTGCTCATTATTTCATGTTTTATGTTTTATCTGATCTGTAAAAATGTAATGAAGTTTGTAGAGACTGAATGCTATGAGTACTGAAAGAACTTAGTATTTGTGGATCCTGTCCGTCTGCTGTGTTTTGATTGGACTAGAGTTGTGTAAATATGTCTCAAGGCTCAGGAACATACTGTATAAACCATGGTTGAGTGCTTGTCATTCAGAAAGTTTCATTTTGTTTCTGGAAGTTTTATAACAAAAACTTTAAGGCTGTTAGTCGAGAGTGAGCTTTTGCCATTAATTATGGCAGGAACATTCTGTATTGTATGAAGTGAAGGCACAAGGTTCCAGTCCTATTGCTGCAGCATTAGTGATGAATCAACTATTTAGTGTCTGATGGGTGTACTGGACACGAGTTCACCGATTGGTGTCTACTTTCGGAACTAGTGTGAGGTTCACATACGGGATGCTTCGGTTTCTTTCCTTTAGCTTGTAGAGCTTTAATTGTGAAACGCATGATCTGAAAGAAAAATGCCTCGTTGATATTGCTTCTGTGTGAATGTGTTGTGTCACTTTCACTTACTCTCGTCAAGCTTCAAAATAGACATCTGCCAATTTCGGACAGGAGTGGTTTCCTTGGACTACTTTCATTGTTTTACAATGAGTGTATGCTGATGGACAATGGAACTGTAGGGGTGCCTTCTTTCTCTTGGATGTTGCTATTGTTTTGACTTCTCATTTACTGAAAGAATGTGGAAGTTAACATGTTTTTTGGATGCATTCCGATAGTTTGGAAATTTTTGTGGATTAAAGTGCCCAAATGATAATTCAGTTTATATTAAGTTTGTAGATACAGAAAGGTTAGGGGAGTTTCACCTGGATCACATTTGACTTTATTGCCCTGAAAAGAGGTCAGTCAGAGTAGGAAGTGATTGTGTGGTAGATGCAGCTGTGGTCACAGACTGTCATCCGCCAAATTCATAATTACAAGCAATAGAAGCAGCAGGGTTTGAGAATGGAAGTGTGTACTTATATGTATGCCATTGTATCTTTGTGCATTAGTTTGCCCTTTTTATGTACAGGTATTGTTAGGGCTTAACATACAGCTGTAGATTTGATTGTGTTTGTTAAATGAGCTTAGGAAGAATGCATGTGTTGCCCAAATATATTGTTCTCTTGCTACAGATGATAGAATGAACTTATTGTTATATTTCTAAGTTTGTAGCAATGTTTCTGCATAAAGATGAGTGTAACAGGTTTACATAGTCTTGAGAGAAAACTGCAGTCATAATTTCCTCAAAAGGTGCATCTAGTCACAATGCTAAGTGAGAGGTCTCGTTAGGTGACACTTGTTTGAGAGTTGTTAGTTTTTGTTTTATTTTGTTTTTTTATTTCATGGGACTTGTTTTCCTTGTAGTGAGGTCATAGTGAACTGTGTTGGCTATACAATTGTGTTGATGATAGGAGAAAAAAAAAGCATGACATTTGTGTGTTGCACTTATTACCTCGTAGAGAAAGCCTTTACCATGAGAATTCATCTATCATTAGTACTGCACTGGTTTGAAAGTTTCATTGTGAATAGGACTTCATTGTACACGAAATGTTGCATAACTGGTGAGTGTAAGATATGATTGCATTTGATTGTTTAGTGTGGCTGGCTCAGCAAATGATGTACAGACGTTTCTTTGGGGCTGTATGTTGTGGGTGGTCACAGTTGTCACAACGAGCAGGTGTTTATTTGTGAAGCTTTTTTATTAGATTGCCCCATCCAAAGATTCCTCAACCCTCCTTATCAACAACCTGTTGTATGTGCTGTTATTTGTGCAATCCATTTAATGTAAAGATCGAAAAAAATATCATCTGTTTTTGATATGTTAAATGATTAAAATATATTTTGAAATGTTCATTTGGATTTTGTTTGTTTTTTTACTTGTTACTTCCTTTTTAGTGATGAATTATTTCAGTGTTGCATTCTTTACACATACAATTCTTTTCTGTGGTTCCTTTATTAAAAGCATATTTATGTGCATGCTGTACTTGGTGGTTGGTTGGCGGGTGCTCTTGTGTGGTTTGCTCCTTCTTTCCTATCAAATATCTATCGTCCTTATCTCTCCTCCTTCTATTTTGTGTTTGTTATTCTCTTGTAACACGTGTAATCTTCGGCACCTATATATGACTTTACTGTGTTGTAAGTGCCATAAACCTCTTACTAAAACTAAAGTCTTCTGTCTTTTCCAAGCCTTGTAATGCTACTGTGTCGTATCTGAGACGGTTGTCTCAAAAGTTAAAGGGCACCACTGGCTGGTTCTGCTTCTTTGTTTTCCTTTTGTTGTTTCTGTCTAACATTTGTGGGTGGTTGGCGGGTGCTCTGGTGTGGTTTGTTTCTTCTTTCCTATCAAGCATCTATCGTCCTTTACTCCCCTTCTTTTTTGTTTGTTACTCTCTTGTAACACCTCTAATCTTCTGGCGCTCATCATATGACCGTATGCAGTTGCGAGCGCCGTAAAACCCCTACTAAAACTAATCTAAACTTTTAAAAAAGAGAACACAAGTATTCTTGGTCCTGTGGAAGGCCAGCTTTCATTTTCTTCCTCCACAATTTGGGTTCAGCGGATGGTAGGAGGGTGCCACAGGATACGTGCTAACTTCTCTTCTTTCCCTCTGTTTTTGCTGTCCACCTCCCTTGCTTCTCACTCTTACCTACAGTATGTATACTTTCTGTGTCGATGTGCTTCGCTTTTTGTTAAAGCTTACCAAGGATACTTTTGTCTTTAGTTTGAATGTGGTTCGAGCCTTCGAGTGGAGACATTCTCACAACACTCGGTTAATCCTCCCCTCCCTCTCTCTCTCTCCTCTCTACGCACACGCATGCACGCACACACACACACACACACACACACACACACATATTAACACTAACTCATATATATGCATGGTGTATCAAACTCGACGACAGCTACATAAAGTTAAATAAAATTAAAACCCTCATAACGTACAGGAAAGTCCTTTGGTAGAAACATAAAGGAACCACGTGACCAGACAGGTACACAATATATTACGTGATTACTTGAAAAAGGAATCCGCATTTGAAATGTTTCCCTGTTCTGACAAGAAAATAAAATGTGTAGAGTTTTCACTTTGCTGTGACGTGGTAGACCTTGATCTTACAAAGCCCCTGCCTTGATTTCAGAGTTCCTGAAGAGTTTAGAATCTTTTAGCTGCGGTTCGGTATCTGAGAAAACCCCAAAGAAAACCTGTCGAAAGCATTCAAAACTGGACTTGGCGGTGCCCTTGGGAGTTCTGTTGCTGTTAAGGCTGAAGACACAATCCCCAAAATGTTTCTCAGCCAGGTTTTAAGACACGTTTCAGTGTGAGAGGGCTGCCTTAAGAAAACGTACCCTGCATTACCCATTCGTTACCTAAGAACCAGACAAATGTGTTCGTGATCTTGCTGCCTTGCCGTGGTTTTAACAACAAACTTACATTTACATTGTATAGTAATACGAGAGGTAATTTAAAAAATAAATAAATAAGGGGACCGGTACATGTATATTTTCATCACTGCTTTTTTAGCGATAGTGACTGAGGATAGAATGATGTAATAGAAAATATAAAAGTACAAGAGAAACTGTTGGTTCAATAAATATTTCCTTTATTCTTTTATTGACTGACAAGGCTACAGGTTGCTAATGTGGACAACATCTGAATTGAACTAACAAAGTACATTGTATTATCAAATCAAATGCAGGCGTGTGAACATTCTTTAAATATGTGAAACATCTTTCTTTAATCAGCTTCAAAGTTGATCATTGATATCCCAGTAAAATGAAATCTTCCTCTTGTCAATGTAAAAGCATGCGTGAACACCTTATTCC